CAGAACCTCTGATGTCACTTCCTCCACACAGACCCACAGCTTCAGAACCTCTGATGTCACTTCCTCCACACAGACCCACAGCTTCAGAACCTCTGATGTCACTTCCTCCACACAGACCCACAGCTTCAGAACCTCTGATGTCACTTCCTCCACACAGACCCACAGCTTCAGAACCTCTGATGTCACTTCCTCCACACAGACCCACAGCTTCAGAACCTCTGATGTCACTTCCTCCACACAGACCCACAGCTTCAGAACCTCTGATGTCACTTCCTCCACACAGACCCACAGCTTCAGAACCTCTGATGTCACTTCCTCCACACAGACCCACAGCTTCAGAACCTCTGATGTCACTTCCTCCACACAGACCCACAGCTTCAGAACCTCTGATGTCACTTCCTCCACACGGACCCACAGCTTCTCCTGTGATCAAACTCACGACAGCAGCAGGTTTCTGGTTTCACTTTGTTAAGAACAGGTGCACTGTGGGAAATAAACGTCCAGATGTTTATTTTAGCTCCGCTGTTTGTTACAGAACAGAAGTGAGCGGGAGGATTCCTGCGTCCTGATTGGACGGAGGGAACAGGAAGTGAAAAAGCAGGACAGAGAAGCAGGTTTTCACCTTCAGCTGTTCAGGCAGGAAGCTAACAGAAGCTAAAACTGCTACCAGGAAGTCACTAAATACACGTTTGTTTTCTCTTAATATCTGAAGCTAACAGGAACACTAAGACCAGCAGGATGTCCTCAGACCCCCACGGTCCATCTGAGAGACCCCCGGCTTCGGGAAACCGGCCCGGGTCTCAGCTTCTTCCTCAGCCACCTCGCGCTTCAACTATGGAAATATATATTCATGTAAATATTTATAGAGCTGAAATCCTTCATCCTCCTCCTCAGTAATGACAGTGAACAGGAAGTCCCCCCCCGAGCTCCACCTGGCCTCCCCCCTGAAACCTGAACACCACACCGTCCTGTCAAACCGCCACCACTCCGTCAGAACCGAGCGGGTCGGGGGTCCTTTTTTTTTTAAAGAAAGATGAAGATTTTCTGATGTGGCGTCTGTCAAAAACCAGGGGGGTCCTCAAAGTCCAGATTTCCACCGGTTGAAGGGACCCCGGCGGCAGCACGGTGCGTGGTCCCGCGCTTCAAGAGATCCCGCCCCCTCCGATTCAGGAGGGGCGTGTCCCCGCTCCTCGAACAGCCGAGGGGGGGTGGTGATTCAGCCTGGTCGGGGGGTCTCGTGGCCTCCCCAGCCTCCACCGTGTGTGTTTGGTTGGAGCTGGACAAACGTCTGGATGTTTTGGGTGTTTTACCTCCGGTCCTCCTGGCGGTGGTTCGTCGACTCAAAGCGCCGCGTCGGGCTGCCGTTCAGTGAGGCGGGTTCATGGCGCCGTGACCTCGCTGCTGCTTCTGCTTCTGCTGCAGCAGGAGCTGCTCCAGCGCCGACGGGCCCGGCTGCATCATGGAGCTGGACCAGATGGACTGCAGAGGACAGGGGCGGTTAGACCGGCTCACAAACACAAGAACTTCACAGAACCACAACAGAACCTGATTAAATGTGCCTGAAGACCAGACCCACTTAGTCCTGATGGACAAAATAAAACAGACTTCAAACTATCACCGGTCAACTTCCTGTCTGTCACAGGTCAACTTCCTGTCCGTCACCGGTCAACTTCCTGTCCGTCACCGGTCAACTTCCTGTCCGTCACCGGTCTACTTCCTGTCTGTCACCGGTCTACTTCCTGTCTGTCACCGGTCAACATCCTGTCTGTCACTGGTCTACTTCCCGTCTGTCACCGGTCTACTTCCTGTCTGTCACCGGTCTACTTCCTGTCTGTCACCGGTCAACATCCTGTCTGTCACCGGTCAACTTCCTGTCTGT